TTAAGAGCTAATCTACGTCAAGCGTGATAGGTAACACTCTAAAGTTACGATACGCTTTCAGGCCTTTGAGAAAGACGAGGTTGTCGAAACGTCAGGCGAATAAAAGTATTCCACCATTAGGAAACCTGTATGGCACAGAAGCATTGACGATTAATAATACTATGACTCTCGTTTACCTCACACGCTCATCCTTTCCTTGAGGCAAGTTTCGTATTTGCATAGGGAGCTTCGGTTTGCTGCACACGATCTTCGCGTCTCGTTGTGGTCCAGCTTGCACTTCCCTTGCTTGCTGCTCCCACAAGGGTGGCCGGTATACCTGTGTCTCGAAGCTGCAGCAAGCGCCTTCGGGAGAGGGCAGTGGGAACGGCTTTGTGTAAACTATCCGCCGCACGCGACTGTCGCGGACCATTTGCCTCGTTATAACAGTTCTAGCGTTTTTCATACAGCTCAATCGCTATGCGATTATTACTTTTGGCATGGTCCTACCGTTAGTTCTTTCGCTCCTCTATTTCGTACTTGCCGCTGCATTCTGCTGCATTCCTTCGCGCGACGTCTCTCGCCGCGTTGCGACAATTTCGCTCCTGCTGCACCACAAACAGTGCCTTCGACCCTGTATGTGGCGAACGGGCACCACAGCCGGCTGGTGTGGGTGTGTGCAATGTTAGAGTCATGCGGAGCGGATGTTGTGCTGCAAGATTCTCCAATCTACGCCGGTGTGAATGCGAGTATGACAGTCTCTGAGGCTGAGATTCTCCTTGAACTCACCTCTCTAACGTGTGAATAAGCTATGATCCGCCCGTAGCGAATCCAGCAATGCCCCATGTTCTTCTCTAACATTACAGCTTTGCGCCTGCTTAGGTTCTCAGTGGTTTTCGTTACTGATCTAGATGCTGACTTTATTTGTTTTCTTTTCACATCCCTCTTTCATGCTGTTTAGATTTATGCTTTTCCTTACGCGTTGTCAACTCCTTACAGTGTAGGATTTTTCTCTCTGTTGCTTTGTAAGCGAGATTTTACTCCCTTGGCCAGTTTAACAAAAGGATCGAATATGTCAAGTCCCCATAATTGAGATAGTCCAATCGGACCTGATTTTGGTTCCTGAAGCAAAAAGAAAAAGAAGTGAACTAACTACTTGGCAGCCAGCAATGTGCCTTTTGAAGTGTTCATAACTGTGAACATCGAACCGAAACCTGACATCCACCTTCTCGCTATCATACCCTGACGCTTCTCGAACTAACCATAAGCAGCACCAAGACCGGGGTGCAGAATTAAAATGTGATTTGAAATTCGCGGCTTGCAACTTATGTTCGTAGGCTGAGTATTCGACGCTGACCAGGAGCGGGCTTGGCGCGCTCGCCGCTCCGCCTCCCAAGCGGCGCCGATTTTCATCCCGGCCTAGGGTGCCGTTGCTGCCCTTCCCAAGTCACGTTCGCTTGCGTTGTCACGTTGTCCTGGGTTTCTTCAACATTTAGCCTTACTTTCCATCACACAAGTTTGATTGCATAATTCATTTCTATCCATTTCATCGGCTTTCGCTGGTTGGATTTCATTTTGGTTGTTGACCCTGGTTGTCATAATGTTCAGCGGATGTTTCTCAGACGAAAGTGTTGAACTTCCTTATTAATTCTGCAAACGTTTAGGGAGTTCCTCTGACCTGTCGTGGTTTTTTGAGGTAATTTGTGTAGACGTCATTCATCTCTGTAATTTGGAGACATTTCAGGTCAACTGAGTACTTCTACATAGTGTTTGACTGATTACCACGTGTGTTTGTCCCACCTGTGAACACCATGAGCGTCGCAGATACGAAAGTCGCTGCTGTAACGACCGATGAGAACTGGAAAGCTGGCCTCGTTCTGCCCGCTAAGGATAAACGCTTTAAAACTGCGGTATTGATTTTTTGCGCTTGATTGCGAAATCTTACGAAAATGCTGATAAAATTATGCGTACAGGATGTTACGGATACTAAAGGCGTCGAATTCGAGGATTTCTGCCTCAGCCGGGATTTGCTGATGGGCATTTTTGAGAAGGGTTGGGAAAAGCCGAGTCCTATTCAGGAGGCTTCTATCGGTGTAGCTCTGTCAGGTATGTTCTTGTCGCATGTAGTCTAAATAAGACCCCGTGACTGTAAATGCATGTGAAATCGTTATTAACCCAATCGTGGGAGGGCGAAGTGTTGTTGAATGATGGGATCCTGGCACCTTTTGGATGAACTAGGGCAAGCCTCGCCAATGTTGTTGAAAGCTATTCAGTATTGGTATACTATCGGTTGAGCGGAGCAGTTCACTAACTGGTCAGCAGCTCATTCGTATCCGTACTTTTATAAGGTTGCAAATTGGGAAGAGAGAAGGTTTGGTTTTGCTGAACCACAAGAAGTTAAAGTTTAGAAGTTTTTTCTGATGGACTCTCGTGCCATACTATTATTGAATTTCAGTTTCTGAAGCTGTAAAAATGAATTGAAGGGAGGGGCAATCAATCAAGGTGCATAGAACATTCTTGTATTGGGTGCCGGTTCTGCTGATGATGTGCGTGTCATGTACTAAGATAGTGGGTAATGTAAACCGCGAGATAGTCATTGCATGGGTTTACCGTCTGAGCGCATCAATCCGAAAAAAATTTTGAACAGAAAGAAAATGTATGCTTAAGCAAAAACGATTTATATGTAAAAATGCAATGATATTGGCTATCTATGCCAGCGCCAGCATAAATTTGGGTCAGCGGTGTGAGCATTAAAATTAAATGTGAATTCACAAAAGTAGTTGGAATCACGAGTTTGTTGCCAAGATATTTTTGTCTAACAATGGTTACAGGGCGGAGGTGGAGGCAAAAGGCGCACGATCGTACGGTCACGGGTTCGAATCCCGGATCGATAGTCGCCTACGCCAATAACCCTTCCAATGCCTCCGGGCTCGAAAAATTGGCACCAAACTGTTCGGGAGGATAAAAGCACCGAGTTGCACATCGGCTGGCCGCCGTAAGTCAGTGGATAGGCCCCATACGCACTTATTACGCTACTACGATTCTGAATGGAAGTCGAGTGCGGGAGCGCATCCCTCAGACAAAACTGATTAACACCAAAAACTTTATCCTAATAGTTATACCGCCATCTTAGCATTCTGTTTTGGAGCACATTCTAGCTGTTGAATGACTGACTTGCACGTGTAGAGCCTCTTTTGCGCAATTTTGTGCAATTCTCGAAAGCACAGATGTCAGTGCCACGTGTTGGAAACCTTCCAGCTGCCGTGCTACAAGGTGCAGTGGTAGAGGGTATGTGGGAATTCCAAGTGACGAAAAGTGCCATCTGAGGGTTAGGGCCACAGATCAAATTTGTTCGCTATAAAACTTATTTCGGTGCTCTACTTTGCGTTCGCCAGTTGTCCAATCGATATATGATTCGCCAGTTGTCCAATCGATATATTGTCAAGTGCTCGCGAAATCTTCTGAAATTCAGTTGCGGGAGCTCAGTACGAAGATTCTGCTTCGCAGCCTTTGTTTTTACCTTTTTGACTAGGAAAGTTTTCGTAGTGCCGCCTCCTCTCAATCGAACTAAAAAATTGTTTAATCGAATTGACCGGATTTCTCGCACACTAGCTCAATGATATACGTTGTGGGTCTCTTGGCGTTACGAAATAGGGTTGCAGGTGTTCGGATAGAGCAGTTGAAGCTTTATTTTTTTGAAATATGTCATGGTGTGCAGCGTTTGATGTGGTCGCGTTATTTCATTGTTGGACGACGTCCGGCTACGATGGTCATCTGACGCACACATCATGTAAATGTAAAGCGCTTCGAAATTACAAGAACTCTATTTAAACTTGAATACGCTCTAAGGCACTCCAAATAGCACAGTCGATGTATGAAGCTTTTTCACTTGTCAGAAAACATTACACTAGCTGCCCCGCGAGTAGTCAAATTTAGTTCTGTTTCCCGGAATGATCCTACTGTATATGACGTGCTGAGTGTGTGTGTGAGTTTTTTCGGCTGGAAATTTATAGCCGGGTGGGTACATAATAATGCCTCTCTTGATACATAATAATGTAATGAAATGAAAGTTTGATAGTTGACTTCCTTTACTTTAACGGCGTTGAGAAGCTGCGTAATTTCATTCGACACTTGTAGGAAAGTTGTGCAGCTACTTCTCTGCCGCAGCTTCTCAACGCCGGTGGGAAGCGTGCGGTGATGGAAGGAAATTTTGACTGAAGTAATATGTTCCCAGTTCTGCGCAATTGGCTTTCAGACTTCGCCCATTCAACCGCCGTCCGTCCGTCCTGCGCGTTGCGTGCGTGTGACGGCGGCCCTAGCCACTTTTGTTGACAACTTTGGCACGTGATCCAGGGGTGCAGGAACTTTTCCCCGAAAATCCACGGCAAGCGGCAGCGGCCAGGTGGCGGCTACCCTGTCCTTGCACTGGAAACTCAAACCTTACCCTTCATTGTGAGGGTGCGTCGAACGCGGCGCCATTTTCGGGAGGAGTTACCAAACCCCGTGGTCCAGTGTTGTCAACAAGTGGCTAGGGTCGCCGCCGCACGCATGCAACGTGCCGGACGGACGTCGGTTGAATTGTTGAAGTCTGAAAGCAGCGAGGGCCTGTTGAGTTGATAGTTTCTTTGAAATGGACGCCTTATTCGGCATCAACACGTACATTTCTGGAATCTATGCTCACAGTCTTCTTTGTGACCGACTTTCATTGAAAAGCCTTGTGCGTTGTCAAGATCCATTTCCTTTGTACGCGCGGGTCTATACAGGAGAGGTTATCAGCGAGCAGCCAGTTTTCGTGATAATGTTATGTTCATATTGTTTTCAGCAGTTTTCAAAAAATGATAATGATATAATGCAATGATATGATATTTTGATTGTTATCGGGACTATTTGTCCGTCGAAGGTTTTATTCCAATAGAAGTGCGTACTAGAACAAGGCTCTGGCTGGGTTAGTAGAATTGCTCCTACTCGGAGGCAAACCAGAATGAATTGGCGCTATGTAGTCTTTCTCATGTAGCCTCCATTACTCTCCATTACTTTTTTGGCTTGTTCAACCAATAGGCAATCTGCGCTGCGCAACCCGCCACCACACCGCTTTCGACCTGCTGCGAATATAGCGTATACGGATATGCAAAAAATAAATTGAAGCGCTGTTGCTTGTTCCAGGTAGGAAAGATGTCACCACCAGCGTCAAAAGTCCGTAGAACGCGATAAAATCAGCATAAAAGGAATTTCTCTGAAGCAAGGAAAAAATGGAATCTAATATGGTGCAAAAATCCCCCCCCCCCCCCCCCCCCCTCTTCCCATGAACCCGAATTGTCATCTCTCACACATAAAGCGTCAACCTTATCAGTGATACAAGCCACCACTGAGGGTCTGGCACATCCGTTGTGTTCGCTGATGTTAAGCCCATTTGAAATCGCACTCATAGATCCGTCCAAAGAATCTCTCGGCAAATTTTGAAGGCAGATTTGAGATCAGCATGTAAAACACGTCTAGCAGCACGGGTCTCAGTTCAAACAAGCACTTCGTTTTGAGCTCCTTCCTGGTTAGTATCGTTTGACGGGTACGACTTTAATTAATTGATTGGTTCTAGTTTTCCTAGTTGTTTGCATCAAGCGGGGAAGAACTTCAGGAAATATCGGCTTTCCGTTCCGCATCTTCGTTGTGACAGTCAAAATCATCTTTGTATTTATCGGATAACACAAGTTATAATTGACGATCAGCTCAAGGTAAGATGTTTCTTTCAGGTCAAGATATCCTTGCTCGTGCCAAGAATGGAACGGGTAAGACCGGTGCATACTGCATACCCGTCATCGAAAAAATCAATCCTTCCATCAAGAAAATCCAAGCGCTCGTCATCGTCCCTACTCGCGAGCTGGCCCTTCAGACATCGCAGATTTGTGTCGAGCTCTCAAAACACATTAAGCTGAAGGTGAGTGTGCAACTCTCTTTCTTTACTCATTACGCAGAAATTCCGTTTAGATCATGGTTACCACTGGTGGTACAGACCTGCGTGATGATATAATGCGTTTGAATGGGTCGGTTCACATGGTAATTGCAACGCCCGGACGAATTCTCGATTTAATGGAGAAAGGAGTAGCCGATATGTCGAATTGTAAGATGCTTGTGCTCGATGAAGCTGATAAATTACTCAGTCAGGATTTCCAGGTGAGATTGCTTTGATTTCTTGAAAACATTAGCTCAACAGCTATAGTTAGATGAAGTTAGAATAGAAATGTTCTAGTCATTTGGCAAGAGATATCCGCAATACTGAACGAAGTATTCAGGGCATTCTGGATCGCCTTATCTCGTTTCTGCCGAAGGAGCGTCAGATTATGCTCTATTCAGCTACTTTCCCAATGACAGTTACCGAGTTCATGCAGAAGCATATGAGAAAACCATACGAAATAAACCTCATGGAGGTCAGTTGAGTTATTTATAGGCTACTACATGGGCATCTGTTCCACAAACGTATGCCTACTTCTTTGCGAAAAATCGTTTTGGTGTTGCGTGTTTTTTTTGCGATAGCTGGCAAGAAAATAAAAAAATAATCACTAAGAAAATAATCACTTAAACCCAGTGGTGGGCTGTGTGTTTTAGGAATTTGGCTCAACGTAAGTCGTTCATAGAGGAATTGTGAAAAACAAAAAACCTGCCCCATGATAACCCATCATTCCTGCTTCACTTGTGATGAAACGATACTGTAGAGTATCTTACATCAAATTATGGGACTATGATTTAGTGAATACGGTAAATGTAGTGTTGGCTTCGGTTCCATTGCTCGGCTCCAAAATTTTCACCCGTTCTTCAACGAGCCACTTTCCAAATAGGGATGTTTCACATACCATAGAACTCAAAATGGAGACCCAGATAAATCGAAGGAATTGAATGTTATTTACGAATATGGAAATTAGATTCGTAAAGTGGCTTTCTCAAAAAAGTCATAGGGCTCGAGATGCTCGACGGTAGTGTCAGCGGTATAAACACAACTCGTCTTCACATTATCAAGGGCCAACGTGGCGGAGTGGTAGTGCTCTCGCTTCACAGGAGAAGTTTGTTCCTCTTTATCGAGAATTTCGCACATTGTTCTTCCTTTCCATTAAAGGTTCTTAAAACCTTTCCCGACTTTTGTTCAACTGAGCGCCTTATTTCTGCTTTTGTTTGAGCGTGTCGCGCACCTCGTAGGTATCTAATACATCGCTGGTATCGTTCTATTAAATGTTGAAATGAAAAAGAGTCGTATAATTCACGTGCAGAACCATTCAATCTTGAATAGGTGCGACAAGTGCAAGTGGAAGCAGGAATAAGACGTTCTCTTACAAATGCCAGAAAAGTCTTCAAAAATCTGAACGGAACGAGGAACGCAGCGAAAATTTCGACAATGGCGCTTGTGAAGCAAGAGCACTACCGCGCTTAAAGTCGACGCTTGATATCGCAGCGGCTTTCCAGCTTTCCGGCTTTTCCAATCACCACTATCTTCAAGCAAATCGCGAGCCCCATAACTTTTTTGGGGAAGCCATTTTGCAGTCTCAATTTCCATATTCGTAACCAGTATTCAAAACTCGACCGATTCTCCCGGTTCTCCATTCAAATTTCCACATTGAGTAAAGCACCGGCCGATTAATCGCTGAGAGTTGACTTCTTTCCGTAGTTTACTGTGCTGAGAAGGGGTTGTGTTTTGCGGTACCCTGACTCCTTCTGCGTTGCGCGTCGCATGATGAGTCGTGTGTGCGGTGATTTATGAGCTGCAAGCTAGGTAATAAATGCTCAATATGCGGAAGTGGGAATCTCGACAAGCGAATGATCTCAATGGGGCGAACTTTCTGACAAATTTTCTCTGCTAGAGTTGGATAAGTGACGACAGGGCAAGAATTGATATCCACATCCTCAAATCAAGTGGAGATCTTATAGTCCTGAATCTCATTGAAAAGTTGAGGAGAGCGCGACCATGTAGTGAGGTTGCAGCTGCAGGGCGTTTACTTCTTCTTGAAAAATGTCTTTCTGACGAGAGTGCAGCAGCTCTGGACTATCGGTAAGGCAGTGGACTAGGGTCCATACGTCTCACCAGTGATCGGTCTTATTCTGGACAAACTGTGGTTTTGGCTAGCAGTCGGTGAACGAAAGGCTTTTACGAGCGTTCAATGCGGACGTTTATGCTGAGTTTGGGTAAACACGTACATTAGAATCAATTATTACATACACGAGTCATGGGGCGCGACGAAAGATGCCAGACATGTGCCATGAGGCAACTTTGATAGTCAAGCGAGAAAGTTTCATATGGGACCCTATTTAAGCGGGAGGTAGGCGGGATTGGGCTTAATGAAAATCTCAGGCGAAAATGTTGGAAAGAAACATTTAGTTGAGTCAAGGTTAGGTTGCAGTTGAGTGTCGATGGAATGACTATGTTGGCTTCGTGATCAGTATCATCGTTCCTTCCAAGGGAATGATACTTGGCCGCATGTCCGTTCAAAATGAGATGTACATATACCAACGTTGGTGTTTTCGAATGCTTACTTTGAATCTGCCTCCCCAATATGCTAAATGTTATTGGGAACAAGAATACGTAACCTTTCCCCCATTGTGTTGAAAATATGACAAAGCGAGCAATACAATAATCTGTGCAGCGATGGCGCATTTGGTAGGGTGGTGGACTCCCACGCATGGATACTCTTTTAGGGACACCCTCATACTTTAGAAATTCATGGGAACTTTTGTCGGCCATCACTGGCTGAGTATGCGTGCAGCTCAATTCGAGTAAAATGGGAAATCCAAACATTTGCTCCTACTGGGCTTCGCAACTCAAGGGAACCACGTGTCACGTTGTTTACCAGTCAGATTGCCCGTCATTATCAGTGTCATAATCCTGTCGCCAGTATTCTTACCAAATTTGACACCACAGGTCGAATTAACAATTTTCAACCATGCCCCGTCCCCTGTGGGGAAGTTCAGTCCTGTCACCATCACTATTCTGTCTGCAGCCTGTGCCTTCATCAAGTTTGAACGCTGTCGGTCAACGAAAACATGATTCATGAATTGCCTTTTGACCCCTGATTTCCGCGTACACTTCCCTCTCTGATCAGATTTCAGTCCTGCCACCTACCATCAGTGTCTTAATATTGCTGCCTGTACCTCTACCTAATTTGGACGCCTAAGGTTCTAGAAACCAGTAGTTATAGATTTTCCATCAAGCGCTGATTTTCACGCATGCCCCGCCTCCTGCCATCTACCACCACTCTTCTGATCCTGTCGTCTCCATCCCTTCCAAATTTGAACGTTCTTGTCCAAGTGAACAGTCCCTTCTCCCTATTCCATCCAAGGAAGCCATTTCACGCATGCCCCGCCCCGTCGGCGGGTCTAATCCTGCCACTAGTGTTCTCATTCCTGCCTCTGAAGTTTGAACCTTCAGCTTTGTGCGAGCAATTTTCCACGCATCCTCCGCGCTCTAGTGAAAGCTCAGTCGAGTCAAAAACTCCCGCAGTCCCATCCTACCGCCTGCAAGTCTTCCAATCTGATGGCACCAGGCCAAAGGAACTGTTTTCGCAGATGCCACACCCTCTAAAGTCGGAGTCCAAGTGTAGTATTTACCGTCAATGTTCCCATTTGCTCCCGTGCACCGTGCAGGCTTGAGGGCTCTAACCTTATAAAAATGCGTACGCGTACTTCGCGTTAACCTCGATCCTGCGGGCGGAATCCGGTCCTGCCACCCACCATATGTTCTCTGGTTCGAGCGCCGCAAACGAAAGCGCTTTTGACGGCATGGGCGAGCTCTATGTTTTAGAAATATTTGGTGTAATCTTCACCAAAGTAGAGGTAATAGGCAGGGAAGCTGATGAAATGTAGTTGGTAGGGTCAATACAAGAAACTTTGCGTATCTATAGCTAAAGTCAAGAGCGCGGAGTAGTGTAGGGCGCCTGCTTTACAAACCAGTCTTAGGGATGAAAATTTTCTTCAAAGCTTAAAAATGGAAGGAGAACCGGAGGTGGTGCGACGCTGACCTCGCGCGGAAAGCTGGAATGATAGAGAGATATCAGTAGGGTGTCCTTGAGGGAGGGCAGGAAACGACGAGAAAACGTGTAACGTCTCCCCTAACTGCATTTTTACCGATATTTTTCTTAGTTGTGTACTTTATTTCCTGAGCTAGTCACTATGTAAGCAGCGTTGTGGCGCTGTACTTCTCGACATGGATACTAGCTCCACTATAGAATCAGTACCTACTCGTCGATGAACCGTTTCCGGGCTTGGAGCCTCCAAAGCGCCTCAAGTCCCCTGTTTTCGCGGTGCAGACCCGTTTTTACTGAAATATGAAATCTGGAAGGAGAAAAACTCTCCTTGCAAAGCAAGGCCGACGTAGGGTAGGCTACCAGGCAAATTTATATGATGCAGTCATTACGTGCTCTAGAATGAGTGGGAAACAATAGGCATCTTGGGGTGTTGAATCCTAGCATCAGTCATCGGCCTGTGGAGTATCAGGCGACGCTCGTCGCCGTTCACCTTTGCCTTTAATGTTTGCCTTATCGGCCAGCGCAAAGTGTGTAATGGCCTGTATGGGCTCAGCCTCCGGAACACATCGTGGTATCCTTAGCTCAAGTGGTCACCCCAAATAGGATTTCATCTAAATTGCAAAAACTGGGCAAATCTGAACACTCAGCCCTCAATGGAGAATGATTATGAATCTAAACAAAAGACGATAGCCCCGTCCAGTTCCATTGTTTAGGTTGAATACAAGGAGTGGTTATGTAGAATTGAACATGTGAATGATCTGCGGTTAGATTGGAAGTTGGGAACGGGAATTTTCTAAACATCTTGCTGTATTAAGACTCTTCCACATTTTTTTTTTCAAAATTAAATCAACTTTGCAGGAACTTACCCTCCTCGGAGTCACTCAGTATTACGCGTATGTACAGGAAAAACAGAAAGTCCATTGCCTTAACACATTGTTCCGCAAGGTAAACATATTACATATCCCTTCCACAGCATTTTGAGTAGCCGCACGCTCCTGATCAGGTATTTAGCAATTACGTTTCAGCTCCAAATCAACCAGTCAATTATTTTCTGCAATTCTACGCAGCGTGTGGAGCTGTTGGCGAAGAAAATCACTGAAATAGGATACTCCTGTTACTATATTCATTCGAAAATGGCACAAAATCATAGAAACCGAGTCTTCCATGATTTTCGTCAGGGTAACTGCCGCAACTTGGTGTGCTCCGATCTGCTTACTCGTGGTATGTATTTTTATTTTGGAATCATAGTGTTGTTTTCACGCTTAATTCGATTTAACTCTTTTTTTAGGCATTGATATTCAAGCTGTAAATGTTGTGATCAATTTCGATTTTCCCCGAAACGCAGAGACCTACCTTCATAGAATTGGCCGGTAAGTTGAATCTTTTGAATTGTCCACTCAAGATTTGTGAGTTCTAGCTTGCCTTTGCTTTTTGCTCTGCAAAGAATTTTGCTTCAGATCGGGAAGATTCGGCCATCTTGGTGTCGCTATCAATCTTATCACATATGAAGACCGTCATACTCTTCGACGTATTGAACAAGAATTGCGCACTCAAATCGAGCCCATACCAAAGGCTGTTGACCCAAAGCTATACGTGGCCGATTTCCAAATTGTCGATGATGAAGACAACAGGGCGAATGCCAACTGAGGCCGAGGTGTGAGGCTNTTATCGACTGGGCGAGCAAACTTACCTACCTATTTATCCTGTCTTTTCCCTCCTGCCTAGTAGTTTGCTCGTCCTGCTTCCATCTGATCTCGTCCCTGTTCGATGGCTGAGCCTCTCTCTTCTGGTTTCCACGACAAATTGCAGCAATACGTTCCAAATGTGTAAACTTTACCTGCTCTTCGTTGTTTGTCTCTTTGTTCCCAGTTTCTAATTTTGTTCCTAGTTTTTTTTATTATGTGCATTTGCAAATGATATTGGTGACATTCAGTGATCACACATCCTTCCAGCGCGTTCTTCATTTTAGAGATCTTTTGTTGCATGTACTGCAGTGTGTAGTTTTTCACTCTTCATATTTTGTAAATTTATGCGCTCACTGCTACTTTTTTTTTTGATAGTTGAGATGAGAGCGTGTTTTCTGGTAGCGTTCTCAATTATTGTTGTTCGATACGGGCTCTTAACGTGTAGACGGCAGTTATGCTGTCCGTCTCTATATGTCTGGCCTAGCGCTGGATGCCTTTTCCGTCAGGTTCCAACATCGTCATCTTTATGCGGTTTTTTCTGTCTCATTATCTACCAACTTTCGCGCATCGATAGCCTTTGGCTAATCTTGTCTTGTGTGCGATCTGAGCAGTTTTCCCGCTCGGCAATACCATCTCAACGATTCAACTTGTCCTGTCCAACCCTGTGCATAGATAGTTTTAGAGCTCACTATATGATAGCTCTGATCCGGTGATGTGAACGTGTTAACGTACATTTGTCTCGGATAAGAGTCATACTGCAGGTCTCCCAAGACTAGCATAATAATATATCTACTGGGAAATCCCCTTTGTTTCATGGGCGCGCCTCGGCTGGCCCTGTGTCTCGCCCCCAGCGCGCCCTTATGTTTGTGTTGAACCCTCAAGTTGTTTCTGCCTGGAATCAATTCTTTCAGAGTGAAGTTATTCGCTTAATAAAGATTTGGTCCAAATTGTTTTGTTTTTGTGGAAATGTTAGGGATGTGTAAGAACGTGAAGACGTGCCGTTCAGTGCCCACTATCCAATCCATGATTGAATAGCGGGACCGAATGGCACATTGGCGTACGACTCGTCGAAAATGTTCAAGACTTTAGTAGAGATGTTCGCTGTCATGAGAGGTACACAAGTAAACGGGCGGGTTCGTCCTTCTTGACGATTTAAATACTGACAGCGCAATGAAATGAAGAGCGAAGTTTGGTCATAAACTTGTGGTTCTGCTAGCTTCGGCGCGGAAATAACTTTGAAGGGACTTTCCACAGCTTGGGACAGAAGATCTTTTTTAGGCGCAAGAATTTTATGGTCATAGTATTATCGTACGGATAGTTACTGAACGATTAAAAAATAAATGACGGGTAAAACAAGAATGCGAAATCAAGGGGTCTGGAAAGAAATGGTGCCTAGCGATCAGGGGAGACGGGCAGTTAAATTTAAAACAAAAACACTTCTGTGTGGACTGATGTTTTGTTAACTGCTGTTATATCGCCGTAGTAGGCGATGCGAATGTCTCACAAGGATGGCGATTCATGACTAAAACTTCGGAATAGTAGTGTTTTACAGTGGCGAAGCAAATCTCTTTTTATGCAAAGCGCTAAATTTGTGTGGCTGTTTGTATGTCGGTTTTGCGTCCGTCCGCAGAAGACCACGTAGACACGATGAGTATTGCGAATGTCACATGGACGCATGCCAACAAGTGTGGAGAACATTCATGAAATAGGAACTCTACTAGTACTGTTTATATTGGTCTCACAAATACGGATCTTTTGGTGATGTGTTGTACGCATTAGCGTGCACAGCCCAGCTCGTGATTAATAATGTGGCTACTAATTATTAAAAGCTCTCTGGAGGACCACAGACCAATTGGGGCCTTTTCTCACCTACTGTGGGGTTTTGCAAGACATCGATAATTGGTCTGAATGCAGTAACTTATTGCATCGAACCTTGCTATGTCATCTAGAGAGCCAGTCTGCTGCTTCCCGAACCCACGGAGTTAGCTCTATCTCCAATCCATCTGAATGCATGGTCTACAACGAAAATGGTTTCTGAGATATACTCCTAGGATGAATTTGTGACCTCGCTGTATATGTGGCAGTGTTAGATCAGAAATTGGTATACATAGATAGGGCGTAGTAAGGCATTAAAGATTGTATGGCCTGAATGCCACATTAAATGTCTGAAACTGCCATGCGCCACGGCTCTTTTAATTTCCAGCATAAGAATTACCTGTATCACTATAACGCATAACGCATTTGATTTTTTTGGCGTAAGCAAGGACATTAATGAACTTCGTTCGCTGACGGAGCTCGAACTCTGGATTCCCTTCTGCACTTGCATGTACATGGAAATTCTGAGCATCGTCCTTTCTAAGGCGTGTTGAGTAATGCTGACGCATACTTATTCTGCTTCCGTAGCGTCCGAGTCTTCGAGGCCCACATCAAAGCAGGAAGGACAGTATGTCAAAAAAGTGAGCGCGGAGTCGAATGTTCTTTGTCTTCTTTACTGCTCCCCCGATACATCTGAATGTTCCCCTCGCGGCAGGTTTCCTTCTGCTCAGCTCCGAAGTTATGTCGTTCATCATGTAGACTTTTCGACTTACCATTAGATACATGCAGTTAGAGCATTCAGAGATATTCGTTCCATTTAAAGTAAAGGGAGCATCAGGAACCAATCCGTTTCTCATGAACATTTTCGTGGTGAGCTCAATATTGAGCCAATCATTTCGTTAGTACTGTTGAGTTCGGCCACCGTATGCTGCCTGCTCGATGTTCAGTGTTATAAGTACAATGTCGTCCACAAAGCAGAGGCGTTAAGTAGCAGCCTCACTCTCATGTCTTAACATCCCAAATGGCGCGTGACGTTCTTAATATCGGCATTGAACGGTTTAGGCGATGAGCGAAATCCTGGTCGAGAACTATAAGGTTGATGCATAGGTTTTTTCCACCTTTTTTGATCCTTCCGTATTTCGATTGCATGGATGTTGGTAGTTCGCCATTGCGTGAAGAGATGTGCGTGAAGTGTGCATGATACTCTTTTATCACACTGGCTATCACTCGCCCACCCTGTACAGGCAGGTCACAGTGTCGTTCGAAAGTTGGTAGTTCGACACAGAGGATAAGGTCAGAAGGCACTCGTCGACTTCTTCGAGCTCCACCCCCGTCCCTCTAGGAGGAGTGAATTCGACAAGCTGCCTGAGCGTTGGCGTTGAGCAGTGGATGGTGATGGGCACACCTCTAATCTTCGGGCTGGTTAGCTTTTGAGATATTTACAAAAAGACAGGAAAAAGAACTTATGCTCCAGCCTAGTACTCTGGAGTTCACGAAGCATCCATATGTATTGAGGAGCACTCACCCTGGTTGCCAAAGGCCTCAATTCCCGTTACTGTCGCGATGCTAGCAAGAGCCTTCTTTTAATCGACGAAAGTAAGAAGAGCGGCTTACTGTTTTCCTGCAATACTTGAAAGAGAATTATGACTGTGTAGATGTGATCGATTGAACTGAACCCTCTTCGAAATTTTTCATCCAGTATTCCGCCAATCCTGTTGGAATCACTCGTGCGAACACCTCATAGATTACGGACCTTATGCAGGCTGGGCGATAGTTGCCAAAAACATCTAGATCTCCTTTCCTATATGGTGACACAATCTTACTACTTTCTTACGATTTGGGCACTTTGCATTCCGTCAGGTACAGCGTGAAGAGCCTTCTAAATTCCTGACGATAACTGGCTGAAGGCTCTTAAGGTGATCTGGTCTGATCCTATCAGAGCCGGGCGCAGCACAATTCTTCACAAATTCGGGAGAACTGGGTGAACGAATACCGTCACAGTTGATAACGGTGCGTTTTGCGTAACATCGTAGATGTGCGGGTAGAGGTGACTGCCGAAGAGATCCGAGTAGAAGTGGTAGGTGACTGATTCTCCATTGCCCTTCGAGATGCACAACTTTTCCTAGGAGAGTCTTCTTGGTTTCGTATATACTGAAGCTCCGACGGGTTTTGCTAATGCTCTTTCCGGCCTTGGGAGTTTCGGCCAGAGCTGCTGCGCTTCTCTCTTCCAGATCTCCCCTTATCGCTTCTTCGCATAACTTCGCAAGTTCGAACGTTTGTTGATAACAGTCCTTAGGTGCCAGCTCTACAGTCTTCAAAGAGGACGTTTCTTCTAGATTCTCTGCTTTCCTTCCATTATTGTGAAGATGACGAGCCGTTCGTATTCCTTATCGACGTTCTCGATAAGGAAAACTTTCCAGGAGCCCATAAGGGAAGGGAAATGGCCCGGTTGATGGATATCTTGGTGCTTCGTTCCTTGAAAATCTCAGCTATCTCTCTCCACGCACTGGAAAACAAAATGTAGCGCATAGGAAACGATGGTTCGTTTCATTATGAAGCTGCTTTCCAGGTGACTCGCAAATCCGTCACGAATGAGTGAGTTCTGAAACTACGAATTACTATACTATGAATGGTGTGAGTCGACATGTTCATTTCATTACATTTCGTGAGTATCAATGTGGAGCTCTTCAGCCGTTCTTCCGGGACTAAAGTTGGCGTTGAAATTACCGACGATAACCCTGGAAAACGTATGGCCTTCTTTGAAGAACATCTCCACCTCTAAATGAAACCCTCGCAACCCTGCTTTTTCCTAGCTTGAAGTTGATGCGTAAACGAATAGTATTAGCAATGCTGGGACTGAGTCAATCTTCACAATCGCGAACGTCCGATCCGGGTTGTCAAACTTTCGTACGAATCGATGTTCATGGCCAAGTGCGTGTTGACTAGAACACCTACACCGCCGATGCCTCTGCTGTCGCATGTTACAAGCAACAGTTCTCCTGCAGTCTCAAATACAGCGTGCACCGGGCGATGCCTTCTCGCCTCAGTCAGTCCGATGACGTCTTGCTTGATCTTTCTAGCTTGCATCATCAGCACGTCTACACACGCTTCCGATGCAAGCGTTCGTGCGTTGATAGTACAGATCGT